GGCAGATATATATATATATATATATATATATAAAAACACCGCCGTGGTGAAGGCACGAGGCCTATAACCCTAACAAGAAGCTTCAGGTGTGCTTAATAAGCGAACTGCTCTGTGGCCTGTGTAGACAGCTGTACTGATTAAAGCAGAAGTGTACTGGTTCCATCAGACACATGAGAGATGGAGGCAAGACAAACACAGCTGAAACATTTCCTGCGTAGGATGCCCAGTCTTGACCTTAAATAACAGTGAAGCCATGACTGAAACTGTGACACTAGTAATTGTGCAGCCCTCCTGTTGAGACTTCTTATACCTGCAGACCCAGCGAGGCCCGGTCTCTGTCCTTCACCAACTCTGTATGGAAGACCCACAGCCATCACGTGGCTCTGCACAGTGGTGCACCAGGTCTACATTTCCTCTGTGGTCTTATTCGACACAGGGGATCCAGACCACCACAACAGACCATGGGTAATGTCTCTACAGGGATGGTCTACATCCCCAGAGTCTGGTGGTCTACATGAGGGTGTTGAGGTGTCCGGAGTGTCCTACGGAGTTCAGCATCAAGGCTCTCTGGTCCAGCACCTCCCTCTCTCTGCCCAGTGCCGCCCTCTCTTGCTCTACCATGGCCCTGTCCCGCTCCACCGCCGCCCTCTCCCTCTCCAGCCACAGCCTCTCCGCCTGCACTGCCGCTCTCTCTCTCTCCACAGTCGCCCTATCTCTCTCCACCATCTCCCTCTCTCGCTCCAGCGCCACCCTCTGCCTCTCCACCATCTCCCACTCCCGCTCCAGTCCTCCCAGTGGCCCGTCGCATGGCTCTGAAGTCCGCTGGTTCTGCTCTGCGGAGTCGCCGAACGCCTCTTGTCCATAGTCTGAAGAGGAGGAGGGGGGAGGGGGAGGGGTGGGACGAGGCCTGTGTCTGGGGGGGGGGTCAGGGTGCTGCAGGGTGCTGCTCATCGTCCTGGGTGACGGGGGTTAGGAGAGGGGCACTGCTCGCCAGGCGGCCCTCCATGGCTTCATTCATCAGGTGGAACCAGGGCCAGGAGGAGGCGCCGTCTGCTACACTCTCCATCCCCACAGGAGGATACTTCAGATCCTGAGGAGGAGGAGGAGGAAGAAGGAGAGGAGGTGGTGAGGAGAGGGTTCTGCTGTGGCTGTAGTGAAAGACTGACATTAATCAGACCCTCGGAGAGGCTGTCACACTGTTCCACTGAGATTAACTTTACCTGATTATGATGCACAGCCTATTAGCATAGTTAAGCTAATGTTGGCGTTACCTCAATCAATACAGAACACTTGCATTATAGGATCTAGCAGCTAGCCTGCTAACTAGCTAATTGACTGTCATGTTTAGTGTTTTTGAGATCAGGGGCCTGTTGCACAAAAGTAGGATTAAGACATCCAGGATAAATGACTGAGCTGAGCTCAATGAATCCAAAACACGTGAGTCCAGGCTTAATTGGTTGCACAAAGACCAAGCCAGGATGAGCAGACACGGATTCATCAAGCCAGGTGTAACCAATCCTGGATATGTGCGCGTTCACGGCTCACTCAAATAGACCC